TTGCTCTATGTGCTATATGTTGTGCTCTATACGTTATATAGTGTCCTTTATATTCTATATTTTGCTCTATGTGCTATATGTTGTGCTCTATGCGCTCTATAGTGTTTTATATACTCTATTGACACGTTATTTAATACTTGATGCTCTATGTGCTCTATATCGTGATTACTAGTGTGCTCTATACGATATATAGTGTGCGATGTACTCTATAATTTGCTCTATACTCTATAATTCGCGCGTCAATACGCATCGCATGATAATACGATATATAGTGTGCTATGTACTCTATAATTCGCTATATATTGTGCTCTACATGCTATATCTTTAACTTTGTGCTATAAACTGCGCTCTATATTGTGCTCTACATGCTATATCTTTAACTTTGTGCTATAAACTGCGCCCTATATTGTGCTCTATACGCTCTATAGCATACTATATACTCTATCGCCACGTTATTTGACATGTTAGGCTCAATGTGCTCTATATCGTGCCAAGTATTGTGCTCTATACGTTATATAGTGTCCTTTATATTCTATATTTTGCTCTATGTGCTATATGTTGTGCTCTATACGTTATATAGTGTCCTATGTACTCTATAGTTTGCTCTATGTGCTATACGTTGTGCTCTATGCGCTCTATAGTGTTTTATATACTCTATCGACACGTTATTTAACACTTGATGCTCTATGTGCTCTATATCGTGATTAATAGTGTGCTCTATACGATATATAATGTGCTATGTGCTCTATAATTAGCTCTATACTCTATAATTTGCGCGTCAATACGCATCGCATGATAATACGATATATAGTGTGCTATGTACTCTATAATTCGCTATATATTATGCTCTACATGCTAAACCTGTCACTTTGTGCTATAAACTGCGCCCTATATTGTGCTCTACATGCTATATCTTTAACTTTGTGCTATAAACTGCGCTCTATATTATGCTCTACATGCAATATCTTCAACTTTGTGCTATAAACTGCGCCCTATATTGTGCTCCATACGCTCTATAGCATACTATACACTCTATCGCCACGTTATTTGACATGTTAAGCTCAATGTGCTCTATATCGTGCCGAGTATCGTGATCTATACGTTATACAGTGTCCTATATACTCTATATTTTACACCATGTGCTATATATTGTGCTCTATCCCCTATATAACGTGCTATACGCTCCGTAGTTCACGCTTTGTGCTTCATGCGCTCTATATCATGGTAAATATTGCTGTCTATATAGTGCTCTATACGCTGAAATAGTACCTCCACCCTCTAGCAGTTCCTCTTCTCGCTCCTGCATTCCTGCCCAATCAATCTTCAACATCAATCCTCGACCAGCCCTGATTTTCCTGCGATCTTTCGAAGCCAATTAGCCCCCGAAATTGTTCCTCGCCGCCCCCCTGGCACCCCTTACAGACGTCGCCCAATAATTTACGATACTCCTCGAGAGGAAGGGGGCCGATATTTACAAAAGCGGAAAGACGAACAGTGAGCCAAGCCCAGAAGTCACAATGACCACCGCACATTAGAAGGTCGTAAAGTATTTTCTGGGATAAGTCGGCGCCCGTGGTCGATAACGAGGTAGGCGTGCCCCGTTTCCCGAACCCCGCGACCACCGAAAACCCGACGAACCCCCCCGAAAATCGCGTCCCCGGAGGAACCGAGGATTATACCTCCGTTGCGGTTTCTCCTCCCGCTCCTTGAGAACATTCTGCGGAATCATCCAACGACCGTTTCACGTGGGGTGCTGGTTTCGTTCACGTTACGGGACGCCAGCACCTGTTTCGGTTGTGTTTGCTTCTTTGTCATCCCACGTGGGACCCCTCCCTCGAAACACGTCTTGCAAAGGTACGTTCGAGTCGGATTCTCAGAGAGTTGTAAAGTAATCGATTTAGGAGACGAGGAGAGCGAGAAAGGGCGAGAAAGATGATTTTATAGGGGCAGAATAGAGTGCGGTGCAGAAAATGTAACGTGTAGAGCATCGTATAGAGCACGGGAGGGACGGGGAGGGGGGAGATGTAGCACGTAGAGCATAATACAGAGCACAAAATTGAAATATAGAGAATATAACGTATTATGAAACGTATAGAGCGTAATATAGAGCACGGAGGGGAAGATATAGCGTATAG